TTTGCGATTCCTTTGCAGTAATTACAAAATTGTTTTCACTGGTCAACTGACRTTTCACGTYTTTCGTGAACGTAGATCTAAAACGCTCTATTGTTTTCAATTCACGCACCTCTCTATATCAGACAGGTGTCGCAGTGTAACAGTGGGTGTGTGGCTGGCCGTACTACGAGCCATGCTAAGCAAACTAAAAATATAGTAAAACAGTTATATAAATATACAAATATTGGTACTTGTTTTGTTAGAGAGGAAGTTATATGAAACGAGGTCAAAGGAGTCAATTTAGGGGAGATAAGGGGTAGGGTAGGGTATAATGGTGTAKAGCATCTAATGGCAAAACAGAAGCATTCCCTTAAGGACGTTCATGGGCAAAAGATCCCATCGTCGAATCTTTTTAAAATTTTGCACGGTGAAAATACATCATACTAGAAATAAAATAAGCAAAAAATAAAAAAATAAAAAAAATAAGGGGGTCCCCGACTTCGTTTAGCCGTCAGAATGTGTGGATGTTCACCCTCTTTACGGTAAAAACGCGCGAACAAGGTAAACATGAAAAGCTGTCAAAGATTAGATATATTTTACTGAAAAAATAAATTGATCKTCCCCATTGTTTACAGAAGATTAGAAAATAGTCAAATAGCTAGCATTTGAAATTTCTGTTAAAAATTAGAAATATAAAATGCTATTGTGCTATAAGTGTGGACTTGAAACCTTCAAGTTACGTGAAATTCTATTCCAGTTATACAAAATATGTCGATTTGATCCCATCGTCAGATTTTTTAATTTTTCCTCTAAAGTTAGGTATCATAAAGTACTTTCAAAAAGCGAAATAAAAAAGGGGGTGGCCGACTTCGTTTTAGAGCTATAACAGATTAAAGACGTTTTTTTTTGATATTTTGCTTATCAAAATATTGGAATGACGTCATCACGATGATCGCGTGCTCACTAAATTCATGCGTAGAAAGGATGCGCGCGAACAATGCCCATGAACGTCCTCAACCATCACATGAGGGATAGTTGATTCGGTAACTAGGAGCACATGGAGCCATTTCTGCCCCACCCCCACCCCCACCTGCCCAAAGGTATCAAGTGTGGTTTTTAAATTACCTTTTAGCTGAGTTAACAGCCACAGATAGATTACTAATAGAGTTTTCTACACTTCTTGTACTGSTGGTGCTGGTGGCAGGCTCCATCACCTGAGTCATCGGATCATCTGCTGTCACTACAGAGAACTCTGCTTCRTCACTCATCATCAGGTTGCCAGGAGAAGATGGTAGGAGAATTTTGTCGTACTCACTATCAAAACCAGCCTGAAATGATGATATATATTTCAATAACCGTTGTCATCGCCAAAGGCGATAGGTAATAGGTYATTYCGACATGGAAATGGTTCCGTTGAATACAAAGAACATTGAATCAGTCTCAGCACTAAGGTCCATACTCTTGACGAGAATAAGAAGCAGAAACACAATTCATTCCAGCTATTCTTGGATCTTGGAATGGCCTAACTCCTATCGCTTTTCGCCTATCGCCTATTACCTATCACTTTTGGCGATGACAACATTCACGCGCCATGAAAGACTTTTTATCCCATGATCTGTGCATGTRTGCAAATATCACGTACCACATGATCATGTGTTATACAAATCACGTGATTTATGACAAGTCAACATTACGTGCCATACAATCTCTTTATCACGTGATCTGTATATGCCACACGCGTCACATCACGTGTTATRCTAACGTCTCATCACATATATGAGTAACGATAAAAAGGTAAATTATATACCGTGTGAAAGGATGAAAAAACTTACTGACGTTTCGGACGCTAGTCCTTCGTCGTCTTTTACTCGGACGAAGGACTAGCGTCCGAAAGGTCAGTAAGTTTTTTCATCTTTTCACGGTGTATAATTTACCTTTTTATCATTACTGTTTCATTAGAAACAYCGACGCAGCTCACACTAGTTTYTAGCTAGTTATCTCTTCTCATCACATAAGTTTGCATGACGTGTCTCACMGGAGAGTTTGTTTACCTGTGGCGTTGGCGAATCAATAGGGACTTCCCTATCAAGTTCGAGAGAGACCCCGTCATCAGGAGTCCCAGGACCACCAAAGATCTCCTCCATGACAGCTGATACCGCCTCACTTTCGCTCCCCTCCAAAACAACAGGAGTGGTAGATGACACCTCCTCTTGTTGAGCTGCCATATTAGCAGCTCCTGATTCACTTCTTGGGGATACATCCCTGCTGGAGCCCGAGTCTGACAGACATGCTGGATCAACTGTATTAGGCCTGTCCTGCATCACCACAAGGGTCGAGGTTGCTTGGCTGGTAGACGACGAAGATCCCTCTASAARTTWGAGATCAAATATCCCATCAGATCATTGAGGTCAAATATTCCATCATCCTCCATGTGATGAAACGAAATGAAAAAGCTTCCTTATGCAGGATAATGTCTTCCGTGACCCAAGGGACACTCATAGAAATGGAAGACGTGGAGCACAACTGATGTTTTTTCTTCCACAAAAATGGAAAACCTTGGCCAATATGATTAGTTGTAAAACATTATCCTCGCTCATTTAAGTGATTGAAATCATAGTAAAAACATCCCACTCAGATATCTAAGCTCTTCCATTCACGTCGATTCTGCTGTAAGATTCCTACCATTCTGTAACTCACCAGTGACTAGCCCTTCTGCTGGAGATGGYCCATCYTGRTCCTTCCACTTCCAGTCCCTGCCTCGTACAACTTTGCTGCCCACTCGAAGGTTTCTTAACATCTGGGACCTCACGAGGCGTCGTTGTCGCCGTGGAGAAGAATCCATATCGCGGGATTTTCCAGGGTAGAGAGACCAGCATGGTTTGAGTGAACGACTTTGTGARTCTTGGAGGGTTTTGGATTGTTGATGTTCGGTCACTAAGTAAGGAATAACAAGTAAATATTTAGTGAGTAAAGTAATCAAAATCATCATTATCGT